AGTCCTAGTTACTCAGGTGGGAGGATTGCCTAAGCCCAGCAGTTCCATGTTACAGAGAGCCATAATTGTGCCGCTGCATTCCAGCCTGGATGACAAATCAAGACCCTGCCTCTAAAAAAATTACACACATAGGCCAGGTGTGGTAGCTCACGCCTGTAATCTCAGCACTTTGGGAGGCCAAGGCGGATGGATCACTTGAGGTCAGGAGTTCACCAGCCTGGCCAACATGATGAAACCCCGTCTCTAGTAAAAACACAAAAAATTAGCCAGGCATGGTGATGGGCACCTGTAATCCTAGCTACTCAGGAGGCTGTGGCATGAGAATTGCTTGAACCCGGGAGGCGGAGGTTGCAGTGGGCTGAGATCACACCACTGCACTCCAGCCTGGGCAACAGCTCGAGACTCTGTCTAAAAAAAAAAAAAAAAAAAATACACACACACATATGTATGTACTGGCAGAATGACTCTAAATTTAGTGCTTCTTGGGTGGGGAGGATTCTTTCATGCATGTATCAATTTCCTATTTCAATACAAAATGGGTTCCACTTTCTCCTGAAATCTTCTTGTAGGACCCACTGAAGTCTGTACCTTTCTTCTGATGCCTACCCACAGGTTTGGAAACATCGGATTTAAGAAGACTCCAAGTTTTCCATGTAAGCGTAGCTTAAAGGAAAGTTTACTCTTCCCAGGGACTATATCCCCTCACTCCCCAATCCTGTGGTGGCAGTGAGAGTGGCAGCAAGAATCAAGGAGTAGAACAGGAGGCGAAAGTAATTGGTTCAGCTTTCCTACCTCTTACTGCTCCAGGCAAGACCTTTCTTCCTTCCTTTTTTTTTTTTCTTTTTTAGTATATGCCTTCCCCCATCATTACCTACAGCATTCACACACACACGTGGAATTGTTTCATTTCTGACCCAGATTCTGGTTTTGAATATTAAGTCTTTCCAAACTCCGTGTTTCTTCATATTTCACTAGGAAGATTATAAACTTATCTGAAATGGCAGAAATTCATTTTGCTTTCAATTTCTCATTCTGCTGTATACTACAGAAAAGGAGTACATAATGAGAAGTGAGAGTAGCAACCTGGCCTGCTGCCCAGCTGGAAGCAGGAAGTTCACCTGATAACAACTTGATGCTCCAAATTCTAAAAACTGGAAACGAGCTAGAAGTGAGGGAAGGAAGATCTGAAAACATGCTCATGGGTAGTAATGAAGAAAGTAAATTCAGTCTGAAGATGGGACCTTTTGCCCAGCCTCTGTCAACTTGATGCCTCATTATCTTCTCCATCTTTCCTAACCCCAGGGCAATAAATTAAGGAGCAGGTGGAAAAAGCACCTAATAAAGCAAGGCTAGACAAAAACTCTTTTGAGGGTGAAGTGATGAACCAGGGCAATGAGTTAACATTTGGGTAGACCAGGTTCATTGGCTAGAAACATGGGGGTTTGGGTGAACACATAATATATCTGTAATTTTACAGCACTGAACATACAATCTTAACAGATCAGCCTCACCTCCAACTGTTCCTCATCATCTACTTAATCTCAAGTAAGCTTTTTTTCTACTCTCTTATCCTCCCTCCATGTACTCTACACTCTAGCCACCTGGAATTACACTCTATTCTCCAAACTTAACACACTTTCAAGCCTCAAGCCACTAAACATGCTGGTCCCCTACCTGCTAGTCTTTCCCTGACTCCTCCACACAGAAAATGCCTAGCGTTTCTTCATGACTCAGGTCAAATGCAACCTTCCCTGATATCTTCTCTAATGCTCCAGTCAGCATAGTCACTCTATACAAATTTTTCCTCTTTCACTTATCACAGACATGATTAAGAGAACAGCCTCTGCAGTCAGAGAGACATGAATTTTAACCTTAGTTATGTAACTTACTAGCTGTAAACTGTGATACCAGCCTACAAGATGGACCCCAAACTGGTATTCACACACTCATATACTCCCTTTCCACACTGTATCAGGATTGGTCTGTGTGACCATTAGAAATGATATGCTACTTGAGATTAGGTTATAAATGACACTGCAGCTTCCATCTTGGGCTCTTGCTCTCCTTCTCTTTCTTAGATTAATTGTTTTGGGGAAAGACAGCAGCCATGCCTACCAACCCTACAAAGAGACCCACGTGGTGAAGAACAGAGGCTTACCAACAACCATTAGGCAGGCTTGAAAGCAGATTCTTGAGCCCCAGTAGAACCTCAGATGCCTGCAGCCCCAATTCACCTGGCCATCACCTTATTTTAATAAATTTTAAGCCTTAAGGGTTTTTTTCGTCTCTCCCGCTTCTACATTCTTCTCTTTAACACTCAAGAACAGCCGTGCCACATTAAGGTGATTCCCAAGTGTGCATATTACCTTTATTCCATAAAAAGCATCCTTTTGAGAGGCCCTATGCTAAAACTATCCAGCTAAGTTTCTCCTGGATTCCTGAACCACAGAAACTGTGAGATGATAAACATTTGTTTTAAACCACTACATCCAGAGTAGTTTGTTACACAGCAATAGATAACTAATACCTCTGGGAAGGAAATAGCTCAAAATTTTAGTAGGAAAATTTGGGTTCAAATCCAGGAAATGATGCTTATTAACAGAATAACCCTGAGAAAAGTATTTAATCTCCTGAGCCTCGGTTTCCTTTCTTGTAAAATGAAAAAACTAAAACTACAGTAATATGTGTTACAAAGTAAATAGGACATCCTAAAACTAGGATATAAAATAAGCCAGAAATAAAGTCTATTGCAAAAACAAATCTGAAGCCTAAGATAATGAAGTTCAGGGATCCCATCTAAAATAAGTTGAACACTCATGTACTAAGCATTATAAAAAGTAGATGTTCATGGTCTTTGAATTGAAATAAAGGATAAGACTTACTTCTAAACACCCAAAAGGTACAGAAAAATGCAAACTGTAACCTACTTACCTAAAAGTAAAATTTATATCATTATTTCAAACCTAGGAAATCAAGATGATACAGTTTACAAGCAATCTAAAAAGCTGAAAGGTTGGGTGCGGTGGCTCACTCCTGTAATCCCAGCACTTTGGGAGGCTGAGGCAAGCAGATCACCTAAGGTCAGGAGTTCTAGACCAGCCTGGCCAACATGGTGAAACCCCATCTCTACTAAAAATACAAAATCAGCTGAGGCTGGTGGTACACAACTATAGTCCCAACTACTCGGAAAGCTGAGGCAGGAGAATCACTTGAATCCAGGAGGCAGAGGTTGCAGTGAGCCCACATTGTGCCATTGCACTCCAGCCTGAATGACAGAGCAAGACTCCATCTCAAAAAACAAAACAAAACAAAAAGCTAGAGGTCTGCTCTATTTAGATTGAAATCTTTATACTTCTCTAGATCCCAGGCCTGGCACTGGAATTAAGTATACTCAGTTTGCTGTTTACCAAATTGCTCTCTTGCCCAAAAAAATGGGGGTAGCAAGTCTGATGTCACACTCAATTCAGGTATATTTTAAGGACTAAAGATAACATACATATTTGAGATTACATTAAGTGGCACAGCTGTTCTTGGGTGTTAGAAGAAGAATGCAGAAGTGGCAATGGAGAAAGAAAATCTTAAGGTTTAAACTTTATTAAAATATCATGGCCGCCAAGAATGCAGAAGTGGCAATGGAGAAAGAAAATCTTAAGGTTTAAACTTTATTAAAATATCATGGCTGCCAGGCATGGTGGCTCACGCCTGTAATCCCAGCATTTTGGGAGGCCAAGGAGGGCAGATCACGAGGTCAAGAGATCGAGACCATCCTGGCCAACATGGTGAAACCTCGTCTCTACTAAAAATACAAAAATTAGCCAGGCGTGGTGGCATGCGCTTGTAGTCCCAGCTACTTGGGAGGCTGAGGCAGGAGAATTGCTTGAACCTCAGGGGTGGAGGTTGCAGTGAGCCAAGATCACGCCACTGCACTAAAGCCTGGCGCCTGGTGACAGAGTGAGACCATCTCAAAGAAAAAAAATATATATATATGATGGCCAGGTGTAATGGCACACACCTATAGTCCCAGCTACTCTGGAAGGCTGAGGTGGGAGGACTGCTTGAGCCTAGGAGTTGAAGGACAGCCTGGACAACACAGTGAGACCCTGTCACAAAATAAAAAGAAAATGTGATGATTGTGAGTTGCCTCTGGTTGTACTCATTGTAAAGAACTGTGATAGTCGCTGGGTGCAGTGGCTTATGCCTATAATCCCAGCACTTTGGGAGGCTGAGGGGGGCAGATCACCTGAGGTCAGGAATTTGAAACCAGCCTGGCCAATACGGTGAAAACCCATCTCTACTAAAAATACAAAAATTAGCCACATGTGGTGTCAGGCACCTGTAACCCCAGCTGCTTGGGAGGCTGAGACAGGAGAATTGCTTGAACCCAGGAGGCAGAGGTTACAGCAAGCGCAGATCGTGCCACTGCACTCATTCCACCACAGATGACAGAGTAAGACTCTGTCTCACAAAAAAAAAGTAAAAAAAAAAGAACTGTGATGGTGAATCAGCTTTCCTCAGGAGACAGGAATCTCCCAGCCAGGTCACTAGAGACATAATCTGCCCAGCTAACAGGGGTCTGGCTAGGCTGTCAGGACAATGTAGGCTAAGAACAAACCAGAAGCTCTATTTCCCTAAATTTGTCCTACCTTCTAACTACTCAGTACTAGTACTTTAATGCTAAAGCCCAGAAACAACTAAGTGGTCTGCTGGTATTGCCCATCTTTCATTACAACAGCCTCCTACAATCACTATATTCATATATCGGCTCCTTCTTCATGCAAGTGACCATGAAGTGATCATAGAAGTGATCATGAAGATACGTGCAGAATCCAAATTGTGGTTTGTGCTTGTTCCCTCTTCTGAGAAGATCCAGGCCAGAAAATGTTTCATAACACTTCTCCACATGCAAATGTATTTTTCTTGAAGTATATATAGACATGAATTTTCTAACATTCAATTCTTTAAAATGGATTTGTACACATTAAATGAACCATGGCACTTACATATAGAGATCCATAGGAAACTCCTTCATCATGTGTGTTACAATAAACTCTACCATCAGGTCTGAAAGGAGAAAAGAGAAAAATTGGATCAATTACAGTAGAATTCATTCCTTGACTTTGAGTTGGAAAAAAGCTTCTGAGTACACCTTGCACTCATACTGAATGGCATCCACTACCTACATCTTTATTCACGTACACTTATTTTATATAACATACTTTGTGTAACACTGTTCACCACTTACAACTCTAAAGTAATAAGAAATTATTTCACTTGCTGACCTCTAGAAGGATACCCTGACCTGCCAATAAATTCAGATAAAAGGAACATTTCATTGTATAGATATTTCATCCCAAGACATTAATGTAAACCACCAAAGGGAAATCATATTCTGAGACTAGACAATGAGGCAAGCAGAGAAGAAATTATGGATCACATTTGTGTAACCAGAGACTCACCTCTAAAGCTATGTCAGTCAATTTCATCTTATTATCATGTTCGGTTAGACAGATATTGACTGAAATGGGCTGTGGGGCTCTGGATCAATAGACGCTTACTATATAGTCTTAATTACTGTTTCTAAAATTAAGTAGATTTAGAAACTGGGGCTGAATATCCAAGTGAATGGGATTAAGAGTTCAGCTAATTCCCTGAGGAAAATGTAGAATTCTGGGTAGACAGAATTACCTAAGATACAGGGCCCCTACCTGTCAATTCGGTCAGCCTCACCTCAGTTTAATTTACTCAAAGGAAGTTTTGTAAATGTGAACCATGAACTTAAAGCCTCCTGGCCAGCTGGCACATCAATTTGAACCAAGAAAGGATGAGAAGAATTTTAAATCTATTTTTTTCTTTTTGAAACGCAGTCATGCTCCGTCACCCAGGCTGAAGTGCGATGGCGTGACCTTGGCTCACTGAAACTTCTGCCTCCCGGTTTCAAGCAATTCTCTTGCCTCAGCCTCCCAAGTAGCTGGGATTGCAGGCACCCACCACCACAACTGGCTAAAATTTGTATTTTCAGTACAGACAGTTTTTCACCATGTTGGCTAGGCTGGTCTCAAACTCCTGACTTCAAATGATCCGTCCACCTCAGCCTCCCAAAGTGCTAGAATTACAGGTATGAGCCACTGCGCCCAGCCTGAAATCTTGATCAAGAGCAAGATATCTTACAAATGTAAATCACATATCAAGTTTAGACACAGCCATTTGTCTCCCTGGGATGACATTTTTCTTTGAATGACAGGACCCTTTGAGCACTCTATAACTGGGGTTGCTTTACCAAACACAACAATAAACATGGTTTCGTAGGCCAGGGAAAAAACATAACCAACAATTTCTTTGAGGAAGAAGCACATCAACCAGGTTCTACTCTTCATCTTAATCATGAAAGCCTATTGCTGTCACAGAACAATGTTGATGATACTCACTCACCTAGTACCGCACATACTAAAGGACGGCAGGGAAGATTCTTGTCTGCTGCCTTCTTCCTGTGTCTCATAGGCTTCACACACAAAAAGTGAAGAAAGGAAATTAGTAGACATTGGTACTGATATCCAATGGCCCATCATCATATTCCTTGTGCAAATGAAATCACTACTACAGGGATACTTCCTTTTCTTTCTCTTTTTTTCATGGTGGGACTAAAATGGGGTAGGATAGAGTGAGGTGAGGAAGAAAGGACCTGTGAATGCTTCTCAGTTTTCAATGCAGGCCTGTTACAAAAATACAATTCACAGCCTCAAAGGGCACTAGGGAATACTACAATGGGAAAACTGTTGTTTTTACTTTGATTTTAGTTATATAAGTGGCATTACTAACAACAAAAGAGGTAGACTGGTATTTTTCTTTGACAATAAATTAAAAA